GCCGCGTTCGAGCACTCTCGAAGAAACTCCGATGCGAACGCGAGCCGCTGCTCGCCAAGAGCGCCGCGGTTGTGCAGAACCCTGTCGCTGAGACCGCTGGGAAACACCGTGTTCCCATAGATCGGGCAGGAGGCAAAAGAAAGTCCCTCACTCGAGTTCTGGCACCGTCTCGGTCAGCGTAATCGCGAAGCATGCGCACAACGTGTTGCTTGATCATGTTCATGCCCTTAAGACAGCTGGAGAAGTAAGAAGCCGAGACGGCGACTCCCCAGACCTCTCCCAGAGTCCCTTCTGACCAGGAGTTCCACCAGCCCTTTAAGCTAAGGTGGTATGGCGATGTCTTTCTCTTCTCTTCTAAAACCCTCTTCCCTTCGAAGAGGAGTACCCTCCCCCCCCACTCACTGAGGTTTTCTGGGGCGGGCCGCGAGGTGTCATGGCGCCCAGGATGGCCCAAGATGGCTCCAAAGAGGGCGTCCGAAGCTCCAAAATGGCCTCCAAGATGGCCCAAAATAGCCGACGATCGTTCAGGATAGCTTCCGACCCGACATACCTCCAAGAGGCCCGGATAGGGCCACAAGACGGTTCAAGTGCTCTCGGAGCCTCCAGGACCCCCCCACTTCCGATGCTATTTTGAGGCCTCAGGATGGCCCCAAGATGGCCCAAGAGAGGCCCAAGAGGCCCTCGAGACGGCCCCAAGAGCACCCAAGGGCGGCCCAAGAGCGCCCCAAGAGGGCCCCAAGAGACGACTCCGAGGGCTTTTCTGGGGGACGGAAATCAAGGGGCCCACCTCTTTTGATCGATAGTCGCCAAGATGGCCTCAAGGCCTCATAGGGCTCCCACGAGGGCCCCAAGAGGGCCTCGGGAGGGCCCGAAGAGCGCCGCCCAAGAGCCCCCCCAGAGCGTCCCACGAGGGCCGCAAGAGGCGGTTTGCCTCATCCTCCTCATCCTCCTCGTCCTCGTCCTCTTCCTCCTCCTCCTCCTCCTCCTCCTCCTCCTCCTCCTCCTCCTCCTCCTTCTCCTCCTCCTCCTCCTCCCCTCGCCCCCCCGCAGGTCCCAAGAATGGCACGAAGAGGCCCTCAAAGGCCACCCCCTTGCTCCCAGAGATCTCTCTGTTCATCCTGGCTGCTTGCTTTGTTTCACTATATACGGTTCAGGGTCTGGGCCCCCTCCTCATGCTGATGCCATCGGGCCGCACACCCTCCCCCCGCGCGATGGCCCCCCCCCTGTTGGTGTGGTGTGGTGCTGTGGTGTGGCGTGTGGCGCGGTACTGTGGTGCTCCGGGAGAGCTCCGGAGGCCGTCGCCGTCGTCGCCGCCGTCGTCGTCGTCGTCGCTGCCGTCGTCGTCGTCGTCGTCGCGTCGTCGTCGTCGTCGTCGTCGTCACCGCCATCGTCGTCGTCGTCATCGTCGCCGTCGACGTTGTCGTCGTCGTCGTCGCCGTCGTCGCCGCCGTCGTCGTCGTCATCGCCGCCGCCGTCGTCGTCGTCGTCGTCGTGGTCGTCCCCCCCCCATCCCATCAGGGGGGGGCCGAGGGACCCTGAGACCCATCCCTTCTGGAGGTGGTGGGGCCGTGGGCCCGGAGCACGGAATCATATGTCTACTCGTCCCTTTTCCCGTCGGCTCTCATGGGCAACTTTTCTGAATCGGCTGGTGGGGGTATTTTTTCGTTCGCGAGCGCGCAGGAATGCCAGGCGCCGTCAAGAAACGCGGCTAACGAGCAGCGGACTGAATTCCGCACAAGAGCGCACAGGAGCGAGCTACGCAGCTACGCTGCGGCTCGAGCTGTGGACCTAGCGGAGTCACTGGTCCACTGGTCGAGGTCATGTTTTTCTCATCTGAGCCCGACGGACATCTGCTTAGAGACCCCTCCCCAGTTCCATTCTGGCCAGGCTTTCACCCGGGATCCACGTTTGATGATTCTGGGGCCCGAAACGGACCTCCAGAGGCCGAAATCTGCAAAAAACTTCCGGCTCGAAAAAGCATACGAAAAACTGTATGTGCACCTCTTACAACCATCGTGCTACAGAAGGAACGCTGAATAGGGAGCGACGGTGATTTTCTGGCCACGGCGAGCCTCAGCCACGAATAAACTCCCCGACCTCAATCTAAGGAAGGGCCCGAAAACCCGAGACCCCTTGAGCCCGAAGTGGTCCTTACTCCAGCATTTTGGCTGCATGAACTTGCACGCGCTCACGAGAAGAGCATGCTGGGCATGCCAGCACGCGTCAGCGGCGAAGTTCGCAACGGGAGGAGCGGCTCTGTCCGGGTCCATCGGCGCCAGTCCCTGGCGGCGGCAGGGCAGCGAGAGCAGCAAGTGTCACTTTTACCAAGTTGCTACTCCTGGTTATTCAGTGAGAGAGAGGAGAGCAGCAAGTGGAACGCTTACCAAGTTGCTACTCTCGGTTACTCAGTCCTCGAGAGTGCATCTACGAAACTGATTCTTGCCACTGGAAATGTGACTTCACACCGATGAATATCTGGCGAAAATTCGCCAGCCCTACG